AGTAGCGATGCTCTGTGCTCCTGGTAGCGTTCTTGCTCCTAGTAGCGTTCTTGCTCCTAGTAGCGATGCCCTTTGCTCCTAGTAGCGTTCTTGTTTCTAGTAACTTCGGACTCTAGTTGAATTCTTGCTCCGTTCGTAGCGATGCCAGGAGCCGCTAGTAGCGTCCATGCTCCTACAGGTACTGGGCTTTGACGTGTTGGGAGAAAGAAATGACACGTTCGCGTCACTGGTTTCTCCCAACACGTCAAACCCCAGTACTGTCTCAACTGTTTGGTTTTATACACATCCCCATGCCAGAAATGTTTAACATATCGCCTTCACCTTGTTCTCAAACATCAGTGCCCATTGCGTCTGCTGCTTGCTGTTGAAGAGTGTGTGTCTCCTTGGCACGGTACACTTGTGTCTTTTGCGTCTGTGCCTGTGTCTTTGCACATGCTGTCAAGGTACACTAACACTTGACGTATGAAGGTCAATCTTCTCTTGCGCCCAAATCATTGTGCTTTCCAGGTCCTGACAATGTGGCGTCCAAACTGTCTTTTTCCATCCTAACTCCGTTGGCGTCCAAATCGCTGTGCTTGTCCAGTTCTTAACTCCGGCGTCCAAATCACTCTGCTTTTCCAGTTCCTACCTCTGTTGGCATCCAAATCACGGTGCTTTTCCAGTTCCTGACTCTGTTGGCGTCCAAATCACTGTGTTTTTCCAGTTCCTAGCTCCCTGTCCCAGTTCCTAGCTCCCTGTCCCAGTTCCTTACCAATTCCTTTCCCAATTCCTAACCCCGTTCCTAACCTCACTTCCCCGTGTTTTGGAAGTTCGTGCTCTGTTTGGAGAAACTACAAAACAATTTCTTTTCTGAGATTCATCACGATCCATGGAGAAACGCAGGCGAGGGAGGTTTTGAACTGGGTTCGGCCTTCGTTGATCTGCAACTTCCATAAACATTGGCCCCCTCCAATGCCACTTTGCTCCATGTGGACTTGGTCTGTTCCAGTCTCAATGCAGCCCATCATCCCGTTCCACGGTTCCACGGGCACTGTCCAGTGCAGCTCAACTCAGGTGATGTGGCGACAAAGACGGTGCAAACCTAGAGCGAACTCTGATGAACTGTCAGCTATGAGTCTCAGTCATCCTCATTGGGCATCGGCATCTTTGTTTATACATTAGTAGTTGCACTAGGTGTAACATGGTTCTCAAAAGGTGACCGCACCATGTTCATCCCCACGGAAGAGTGACTATACTAGATCCTATAGGATCGACTGAATTGCTTCACGATTCCTAACAAAACAAAACCAACAACCCCCAGAAACCTCAATCAGGCCCAGGCAGCACCCTCCTCGGGGGACTTGAAGAGCTTCCGTGCCACCGGGCGGAAGCTGGCATAGATCCTTGTGCAACGATGTCACCGAGAGTCCGCATCATTCCGCATCACTCGCCACAGCGAGAACTGGCAGACTCTAGGACTGTCCGGGAGCGGCTTATTTAGAAGTCGCACAAACGGTCGACATCTGACGCCTGGCACATGTGTTGCACTCTGGCAAAGAACACAATTTGATTGATCCGCTGGGTTCAAGCGCCGTCAGTTTCGACGTGTGCTTCTGAGACACTTTGAAAAGCTCCTATGATTCACTGATGATCACACAGCTTCAATGGTAGAATCCAAAAAAGGGATCTTCACACATTCCTGCTTGAACTTGTGATCACACTCCTTTCTTTATTCCAGCCCTCTGAATTAGGGCCCGGTCGCCAGCACCACCGGGTGCATATCGTTCATCACCTGGCACCCATGCCGTTTTGACCGTGCTCACTGGGTTAGACTAATTCCAAAGTCTTTCATTTGCGCCAATCGGCGTTCCAGCTTCGCCCCAGCTTCGATCCGGTGCCTGGGTCAATACTTCACCCGGATGCACGCAATTTACTGGTATCCTCAGCCGCAGTCACCACGGACGGACGGTCGCGAAGAAAACACAGCCTTCGATCAACGGCGATTGAGGTGTCGTTGGAACATGCAGAAACATGGATGATTTGGAAGCAATCTGTGCCACATCCATACACTTCTTTGGTTCTTCAATTGGTCTGTGCACACATGCCCTTAGTGCTTGCTCCCAACTAATCCGATTCACCAATTCCCACACTCACACTACCTATCACTATCACCTACTGGCTGCAGTGGATAGCTCGAAAAACTCTGCTTGCTTAGCATAGCCTTTTGGGCAAAACAGATTTGCTCATCAAAATGCACCGGCCAACGCGAAAAGGCTAGGAGTAACATTGAAGGCTCCCCGCACACCTGGGTAGACGCCGCGCGAGTTCGCTCGTCATCAGCAAGTTGGCTAACTTGGACCTTGGAGGACAGTGTCCGACGATATTCTGGAGAAATCAAAGAACCTATTTCAAACTGCATACTTCTCTGTGACTTCGTTGCGACAAAAGGATCCACCTCAAATTATAAAATGGTGTTAGATCTCTTGAAGTGACTCAACAACGATGGTCTGAACAGTCTGAAGTGCAAGTACTTTGATAAACAGAACTACAGTACTGATTGTTTACGGTTTTACCTCTGAAACCGCCTTGCCCAGCTTTATTGCCTTCATCGCCGGACTGCTCCAAATCACCATGCGGGACGGGCATGTGGCAAGAAGATAGGGAGGGCCAATGGCCAAAGAGACCCTGAGGATTGGACCCGGAGAGAATCTCCAACCCGTTTGGCCGCACTTGATTTCATCCGTCTGGAGGAATTGGTTCTTTCTTATCGGATCGAAGAAATGGTCAATCCTCGAACTACTGGGGTCTTCACATCTCAATCTTCTCAGTTTTTGGTGATGAGGACCTTTCGTTTCAGGTGGATGTTGCTCGACCTGCCAGACCTAGCTGAAGGGTTGGAGAGAAGGTTGGATGGACAAGCTAAATTGCAATGCGCACGGGATGCACGGGAGTGTGCCATAAAATTCAGTGTTGGGCTCAACAATCACTGGCTTGCAAAGTATACTGTAGTATCCATTAAGATGTCAAGGATTGCTCAAATTGCTTCCACCATCCTCAGGGCTCTTCATAGCCATGAAAACCGAAGATCTGCGGCTTCGCAACCAAATGACACGGCACGCGCCGCGATTGGTGAGATCATCGCAAGATCTCCCAAGGGGGCAGAACTGATCGTTGTCCCTCAGGATTGGGCTCTCTCGTCTTGTATTGCTTTCAGCAGAAGTTATCGATTCTGGTCGACCCGGGTTTTGAGAGTTCTCAAGCAAATCATATCACGCCAATCGTCCCCAATCTAATCAAGCGCGCAAATCATCAAATCTTCATGGCCAGAATAGCTAGCCTTCATTTGATGATTTCAAGGGCCCTTTCCTGAAAAAGAGGCGAAACCATGCGAAACCTGCACCGAAACCTGAGCTCTGTACAATCCAGGATCTGCTTCGAACTCTTCGAACTCGGAGCGACACTTGTGAGAACAGTCTTACAGCTTCACAACCCAGGACTTACACTCTTGGATTGAACACTGCTGACGACAGGTGGTGCCACTCACAGGCTTCTCACGATTGCCTGGAGGAGCCAACTGACCTTGCTTCTGGACGTGGAGAAGAAGAAGAAGCGGGTCTTTCAATGCAGAAGGGAATGTGAACATCATTCGCCATTCACTACCATTTTAAACTGGTACAAACCATCATGCCATAATTAACATAGGAAAAAAAGCTATCAAATGTCGTCACAAGCGATCATATGACATGCAATCATTTGTCATCATCATGCATTACCTCCCAAATACCCCCAGTTTTGAAGACACAAAATGGGCAACCATGCCTGGGTCAAACCGTGTTGATCCAGGTCACTCGAAGGGGACTCTGAGAGGCTCTCGACAGGAAAGCTTTCCTCACGTAGGTGATCCACAAACTCCTCCCGCTGTGGCTCGCACCGACTTGCGCCACTTGGGTTTTCAATGGAGCTGTTCAGGTGGGAAGATCAACTTCAAGGTTTCGCAGCAACGTTTTTTACCGGAGAAAGGTTGGAAGTTGTAAATGGTTCTAGTAAACGTCACAAAAAAAAAAACACAAACTCTATGTCCGCCGTCTCGAAAACATCCACGTCCTCGAAGTTCATGGGCTCCCGAAGCACCGCCTGCAGAAAGAGCTGGAAGCTCGATTCGTGGTTGACCGCTGCCTGCTGACTCGACGGAGGGCGTGAACCTGAAGCAGTGTTGCAGGAAGGAAAAGAATGAAACGTGCCCGTGGACAGCATGGCGATGTGGGAGAAAACACATAAAAACCGTAGAAAAAGATTCAGCCGGCGACTTCCGAGGTGGTTCTATGACTATGATCGAACTAGAACTCGCAGAACTGGTTCCCTCGTTCTATCAGAATCCGGGACTCTTGGTGGTGGGATCCCTGGTGATGCAAACGTTTTGTTCCCAAGACTTGCGTAAGGGTAATCTGAGCGCTACCTATACGCCCTTTGATACACAATGGTATCGAGCATGAAGGGGGTGAACAGAAATGGTCGTTTCCTGGATTGTACCAAAGGCAAAAGGATGAATGACAGAGTCAAAGACTTTGGTCACGGTCCGCCAGTTCTTCTTCGGGACGGGGCTCTATTTTCTTTCGATTCGACTGCCGAGTAGCTGGGCTTCATGAGATATCGCCAGGTTTCGAATCGGTCTTTTCCATCAAACTGCATCGAGGACCGAAAGCGCCTGCGAGTCCTCGATCTGCAGCGTGACTCGTGTGACGTTGCTTTGGATGTGATGCCTGTGGTTGATTGGCAGCTTCTTTTGATGAGGCCACTGAGCACAAATCACTTCCGAGCTAAAACCTCTGCGCATCTTCAGACACAAGGCCCTAACAACAGTGGGATGCTGGGCCCAGATTATCCTGCAAAATCTGCATGTGAATTGAGCCCAAACTGCAACATCAAGAAAAACACATAGCACCCCACATCATTGTCGTGTGCCAGCCTCGAGAGTGCAATTCGCAAAAACAGAAACGGGTCTCTATCAAACATTTGATTGAGACATCTGAGGAACTGCACCTTGTTGAACTTGAAAGCCATTCCCTGATGGCTCCGGAACTTGATTTAAGATCCACTAAGCGACATCCGGCAGCTACGGTTCATCACCCCATGGAATTGCCGAGAGTGATGCTGGGCATATGCACTGAAGAGGCTGTAAGGCTTGGCCTCGGTGACTGGCGAATGACTGAAAGTCCCCGTGGGAAGTTGTGGGTGGCTAGCTCGTTGATGGTTGGGTGTGGATGGTAAAGTAACACGTCCAAACATCCGCGATCACTGGACCAACTGGACACCCAAGTATCATCTACTGTATATCTATATAAGCAAATCCAACATAAAAAGATGTTTCTCTCTTCGTGGCGGCACTATAAGCAATAGCTGGGCTGCCACAAGGAATGTTCAAGATTGCATCTGGCTCAACAACTATTGCCGGTACTACACTGTACTTCTCCCACAGTCAAAAGCATCCGCAAACAATAGGTGCTCCCTCTACAGGGCCTCTTCTGCCAGAAAAAGACTATGAAACATGGGACGTAGGAGGTTCGCAGGGACGCAGACAACTTGAGAATGTCTTGCACCAGTTTGCCAAATAGGCTTATATATGCTTATATATATCTATATGGTGGAAGTACGCATCTTGACAACAACCTCATCCCCATGCACAGTTGCCTCCAATAACACGGACGACAACACAACGCTGAAGATAGCTGCAATTGAGAGAGAGAGAGAGAGAGCGAGAGACAAAGCGCGTGCTTTTGCACTGGGTTGGTCAGGAAGCTTCTGCATAGATGATAAAAGCATCCTGATTTTGACAGTGCGGACTGCTCAAACGCATTTCCTTCCCCTGCACTCTGTCGCCGAAACAGGATGACCCCATACTCGAGGTTCCTGTGACTAAGACAGAGAGAGTGCTTTTGCACTGGGTTGGTCAGGAAGCTTCTGCATAGTTATAGTTGATAAAAGCATCCTGATTTTGACAATGCTGACCGCTCAAAT